ACAGAGCCCACACACACACACCCGCACCGCACGCGTTTCTCGCCCGGCGTGGACGCGCTGATTGCGTCCCGTGTTCCCGTCCCGCTCCAGAAATAACAAGTCCGGGGGAATATGAAAACGAATGTGTGCACTCCGCGACGCGTGTCCCATACACACACACACTCACACTCACACTAGCCGCGGAGGGGGTGTACAACTGGCACAACCGGGCACAACTCTGTGTGTGTGTTTGCGTGTGTGTGCCCGGGCGGGCGGAGCGCGGCGGCGCCCTAACGAGCAAGGCGGAACAAAAGGCGTCTGCGACTTAATCGCATGGGGGATAATATGGGCGCACGCAAATGTTTGCGTGGTTGCGCGGGTGTGTTTGTGTGTGTTGTTTGTGCTGTGTGCACTTCCGCCGAATTATGGCGCGTCGTTGGAGCGAAACTAATTGATAGGGTACTTAAATGGCAAAAAAAAACGTTTTCGTTTGAGCATCCCTGATCAAGACATGTGTTGTCTTCCACATCGACAAAAAAAAAGGAAAATATTTGCTTCGCGGGTCAAATCTTTTGTCTCAATTTTGGATGTGCATGAAATCGTTTCCTTTTAAAAGGAACTCAATTTCCCCTTCCACGGTGTGTGTGGATGTATGTGTGTGTGCGTGCGTGTGTGTGTATGGGTGTGTGTATGTGTGCGCGCGCACGTGCGGCGGCGGGCTCGCCGTCGGGAGTTTGCCCCATCATGGTTCGGGGTTCGGGGGCCTGATCGGGCCCAGCATCGACCCCGCCGCGCCGCCGCCGGCGCTCTTCGCGCGCGCGCGCTCACGTCGGGGGAAAATGGGGAAATCCCATTCCCCGTCGGACGGGGGTCACAGCACGTGCCCCTGGTGGAGCCGAGGGGGGGGGCGGGGGGCAAAAACGAAAAGGGGTGTGGCTATATGCGCCGCGGGCGGGTTGTCGGGGTAGTCGTCGTAGTTGACAATAACGTGTTCCGCGCGGCAGCACCGACAATGGCAGCAGGTGCAAGGGTTTGAGTTATAGGGTCGTGTGGCTTACGCCGCCCTGGCGTGGCGTAGGTTGGTGTTCACCCTCACCACCCTCCTATACGACCATGCTGACCGTGCACGCCGACGACGCGGACGCCGCCACTGGCCGTAAATTGCCCTGCTCCTCCCGCGGATCTTTTTCTTCTTCTTTTTTTTTCACTTTCGGAATGGGCGCCGTCGTCGTCGTCGTGGTGTGGCCTCCTCACCGCCGCGCGCGGCCGTTCGTTTCCGAGCTGCTGAGGACCCCTCGTCTAGTGCAGGGCGGCCTGCTGCCGCCTGCCTCTCCCCTGCTGCCGCAAGACCGCCGCAAGGGTGATTGATATCTCTTTCGACCTGGCCCGGCCACCACCACGGCGTTGGCGGGGCACTACTACTGACGGCCGTATCTCTGGTCTGGCCGCCAGAGGGCTCTGGTGCTGCCATTCCGACCCGGGGCTGCCAGCCTGACAAACGACTGCGCACTCCTCCCCCTCCTCCCTTCCCCTTCC